GATTTTACAACACTTGTGCTAATAATATCAAATCTGCACTTGTGTTGTTTTTAAGATTATCTAGAGCACATCGCGACTCTTTGATATCTAATACAGATTTTTCCATGACCTTATCATAAGTTTTTAAATAATAAACTTTTTTGTCATTTTGCTTTAATTACGCTCCACGTTTTTTTGGCATTTCTGTTAATTTTTTCCTACAATTTTGAATTGTAAATTTTTTCTTTGAGAGTTAGTAAGCTTTTTCAAATTTATTTTTATAAAGTTTGTACTTGTTTCATTTTTATAAGATTTTTTTTTTTTAATTTTACATACAATTTTTTTTTCTTTGAGGACTTTAATAAACCTTAAGACATTAAGGAACTTGATGTGACTTGGTATTTATAACAATTTTTTTTTCAGAAAATGCTTTTTAATATTGCTTACAAAAAAAACTTAAGAAATAGTTCATAGGTATTATTTACCTCATTTGATTGCATTATAAGATCCCAACCAACGTTATACTTTATTTACTTTAAGTTTTTGTAAGGAGTTTTCACCCAGAGGGTACAAAACGTAGAAAAGACGTCTTTCGAACGTTTTGGACGTCTTTTGAACGTTTAAAAGACATCTATTTTAGGTCCTGTGCCCACTATGTATTGATCTACCGCCTGTATATTATAGATTTAGAAGAAATATTATTAGTTGTTATATTGTTAATTGTTAAAAAAGTAGGAAATTGTAGTAAACTAGAATCTTCGTCTAGTATAAAATTATTAATTTTCGGGTTTTCATAAACTTCTAATAAAACATTGTAAATGTCTTCTAAATAAAACAATAAGGACTTTAAGGACTCTATTCCTATTCTCCTGTCTAGTACCACTCAATGTTTTCATAGCTAATCATCGAACATGATTTAAAATTTACTTTCCTGAGAAAGATGGATGACAAATAATTAGGGTTCGGAAAATATGTATGTGCAGATATTCGCCGATAAATTGTGCGCATACATTCACATAATTATGCACATACTTATGCGCATAACTTTTTTTCAATTTTAAATCTTTAGCAATTAGAAAATTTTTTTTTTCCAAACTGGAATATCTCTTCGTCATGTTGAATCTAAAGCTTTTAAGGATTTGATCAAAGCACTTAACCCATTGTATGCATATCAATACCGAGCGCGAAAACGCTGAAAGGTTTGCTTCTTGATAAAAAGTACGCAGAATGTTCCGCTAAGTTGGAAGAAATTCTCAAATCATCTGTAAATTTAAAGCTCGCCAGTGATGGTTGGATAAGTGTTGGTGGCGATTATATAGTGAATTTTTGTATCAAGACACCAAATACAAAACCGTTTTTCTACACTTCAATCAACACATCAAGCATAATTCAAAACGCTGCTGTTGATGCTGGTGCCATCATTGAAGTAATCGAGACTCTCGGCCCACAAAAGTTCAGAAGCATTATCACTGACAACGCTCCAGTAATGAAAGCTGCTTGAAAATTAAATGAAGAAAAAATTACACATATCATGACGTATGGCTGTGCAGCACACGATATAAATCTTCTCGTTTAGAACGTTTCGAGTACTGCTGAAATTTCAAAGGCCATCAAAGAAGCTGAAAAAATTATGAAGTTTGTGAAAAATCATCACGTTGTTAAAGCAAATTATGACAAAAAGAGAATCGCAGCTAATATTCCTCGCTCACTCACAATGTTTGTTTTGACTTAATGGCTTTTTTTTAATTTTATTATATTATTATTTAGGTGCCCCAAAAAGACTTAAGAGTCTTGTCACAAAGCACCGCGGAAGTGAATTTAACCAGGAAGTTCACGCCTCCCTCCTTACCGTGACGCAGTGGTACAGCGCTTGCTTCAGAAACAGGAGATCCAGGTTCAAAACGAGCTTTGGGCATACTTTCGCGTCACGGTAAGGAAGGAGGCGTAAACTTCCTGGTTAAATGCACATCCGCGGTGCTCTGTGAAAAGACCGTTAGGTCTTCTTGGGGCTAAATTAACAAAAAAAAAAAAAAAAAAGTACAAAGTCGTTTCGAGCCTGGATCTCCTGCTTATAAAACAAGCGCTCTAACCACTGCGACAAGGCTGCACTATATGATGGCTCAGTAACTTTATTTCAATGAACGACCTTTCTCTAGCGAATGAGGAAAATGCATCTTTGAAAGAAATGACTCCGAAGATGAATTTGGCCCTGTTTTGACGCTAGTTCAATCAAATGCGTTCTGGGATAGTTTGGCAAAAATCGTGAAAGGCATCGAATAGCCTTCTAACATCATTGAAAGACTTGAAAATGATGATGCTCTATTATCTTTGATGTACTGTTATTTTGATGAAATGTACAAGAAATTTGGAAATGAGGAAATTCTTCAGAAAATGGTTATAAAGCGCTTTAAATTCCTTATCACAAAATATGGGAATTACCTATATGCTGACACCAAAATATGCTGCAGAAGAATTCTATTTTGGTGAGTATAAGACTGATATAATCAGTTCAATTTCAGAGTTAGCCTCCAAAACAAATCCAATAATTGAAGAAACAGTTGAAAGTGAAATTATTGAATTGGTTGGAGAAAAGACAACACTGACAGAAAAAAGAAATTTTCAAAATATGCGCAAAGAATTTTTGATTGGAGTTGAAATGATTTGTTCGTCAGCAATAGCAGAGAGAATAGCTTGGTCAATTTTTGGATTTATTCATTCACGATTGAGAAATGGCTTGACAAACGAACGCGTAAAAAAATTAGTTTTCATATACAAAAATAGTGTTTTGATACAAACAACAAAAATGACTACATTTTAGAGGAAGGTGCTGTTCTCATTGAGTTTGAGCGTAAAGAAATTATAAATGAAAAAATGTAATACAAAAATAAATTATTAAGTTTTGTGATATAAATTCGCTTAGAAATCATAAAAATAATTTGAAATATTTACTAACAAAATTAATAATAGAAAATCAACTGAAAAATTATTTCTTTTTAAAGTCGCCTGAGTTTGAGTTAAATAAAGATTATCTTCTATATTTGAAAATATTTATTTAATTTCACATACCATTCATCTGTTAAATTTGTTAGCGCATTATTTGCATATTATGCGCATAACTACGCGCATAACTTTTGAATGGTATGTCCATATATTCGCCGATATGTGCATAAGTTTTGAACCCTAAAAATAATTTTTTAAAAAACTTAAAACAACAAATACGAAATATAAATTGCGTGTTGATTTTAACTAAACAAAAATATAAACAAGATTTTAACGGTCAAAACCCTACTCTTTAGAATTATCGCTCCGGACAAATGTCCGGATGGTTCGGCCCTAGAACGGGCTTTGCTGTGTGCTATTTAACATACCCAAATCTTCTAAATTTTGTTCAGATTTATTTAATATTAAAAATGTGTTTTTAGCAAGTTAATTAACGTATTTTATTATTATTGATTAATTTTACATTTAATCAATAATTCAATAAATAAAAAACGAATAAATAAACAAAGATGTTATTTTGAACATGTATATATATATATATATATATATATATATATATATATATATATATATATATATATATATATATATATATAGAGAGAGAGAGAGAGAGAGAGAGAGAGAGAAACTCTCTCAACATACTTAACCTATTAGCTACAGCCCAGGGGCGTCGTAACTTAAGGGGCGCCACAAACGTAAAGATGAGGAATTTTTAAATCTCTATATCTATGTAATTTTAAAAATGCTTAAACATTTCTCTCTGTATATATATATATACTTAAGCATTCTTGCAATAGAATTGGAATATTTAGAAAGAATAGAATAAAACTTCAATAATCAATGAATTTGCTAATACTAAAGCAAGAAAGGAATTTATTATTCAACGCATCAATTCAATTTAACATTTAATATAATATTTATATTACTTATTATAATTAATAAAATTTAATATAGTATTTATATTACTTATTATAGTTGTATGTATTTTTTTGTTGTTGTTGTTAAAGTTTTATTACAATATTTTAAATGATTTTTACGATATTTTTATTATTATAAATTCTTTTTACTTCATTTTTGTTACGTATTAAGTTGTAGTGCAAATAAAATTGTATTTGTTGACATTAGAAAAAAAATTAAAATAAACATATTCCAATATTTTGAAATTTCAACAGTACTCATTTCTTTTTTATTTCTTAACATAAAAAAAATATTAAGCTCCTTGTATTTTGACTAATAATGAAATGTAGGTTAAGGAAAACTTCATTTAACAAAATAATTTTGTATCTGTAATGATATAAACAAAACTATTTTTGAGAGTTTTAATGCCTAGGCCCTAGGAACTAATTGGTTTATTTCCCAGAGACCCAAAATTAATAATATGTGTGTATGTATATATATATATATATATATATATATATATATATATATATATATATATATATATATATATATATATATATATATGTATGTATGTGTGTGTGTATAATAAACTTTAATAGAGTAGATTTCCGTAACATACAGTTTGAATCAACCAACGCAACTACACAGAGACCTTACAGAAATGGGCAAGTTTAAATTTTTATTAAAATTTTAACTTGAATCAAAAAATTTGTAAAATTGTAAAACCACCACAAATTTCTCTTAAGTTTATATAGACATACTAAAGTATAGTTCGAGTAAAATAAAGAATCAAAACTTAATATAAATTTAAAAAATATTAGCTATAAAGTTAAACTGAAGTTTTTACAGTTTCTTCCCGGTTGACTATCATTTGATTGTATTCTAAAACACTTTTTTTTTCAAAAAGACGGTTTTATCAAGAATTCTGGCTTCCGTTGCTTTTTAGTTCACAGACTTATTTAAAACATTTTTCTGTTAATGTTAAGAACACTATACACTTACCCAACAAGTTCATTGACATATATAGTATCAATTTACTGTTTGTTTTAAAGCTAATATGTAAGTATCTTTTAATTTATAAAACACTTTCTAAGTTTTGTATGTTTTGATTTATTCTAAGTGTGTTTGATTTCTTTCCAATGCTAATTGACTTATGGAGCCAACCAGATCAATTTGATTAAACTGAATGATTGTAAAAATATATTTAAACTAAATTGAAATGAACTGAAAGCATTTTAAAGTATGTATCGTTATTCTACTTTTAGATGCATAATTTGGAATCATTTATTATTTAGTATTGAGTTTTAATGACATATAATCAATGTATATAAATATATTTACATATATATATATATATATATATATATATATATATATATATATATATATATATATATATATATATATATATATATATATATATATATATATATATATATATATATATATATATATATATATATATATATATACATATATATATATATATATATGTATATATATATATATATATATATATATATATATATATATATATATATATATATATATATATATATATATATATATATATATATATATATATATATATATATATATATATATATATATATATATATATATATATATATATATATATTTATATATATATATCAGGTAAAAAAAAATTCTTTTTAAGAAATAATATTCCCCATAGAAATGTTACTTAAAAAAAACTCTTAAATTTAATTAAGTTTGTTTATAAACTTTTTAAAACTTAGAGTTTATTTTTGATTTATTTTTTGAGTTGTATTTAATTAGTAAAAATTGCGAATGTTAATATTATGTTTTACTTTTATTTTTACCCTAAACCTACATTTCATACCTAAAAGTACCCAAAAAAAAAGGTATTTTTTGGGTACTTTTAGGTGAAGCTATCAACCAGGGCTGTGGAGTCGGAGTCGTGGAGTCGCGACATTTTTAGCTGAGTCAAAGTCGCTAAACAAAATCGCGACTCCGATTCCAATAATAAAATATCACGGTATTGCACGTGGAAGTACAAAATATTCAACTAACCTTATATTCATATTAAATCTTCAATATATATATATATATATATATATATATATATATATATATATATATATATATATATATATATATATATATATAATATATATATATATATATATATATATATATATATATATATATATATATATATATATATATATATATATATAAATATACATATATAAAGATATGTGGTGAAAAAATACAAAATAAAATAAAATATACTTTTTATGCATCATTGAAAAGAAAATTAATAAATTTGCGGGTTTAACGTAAAGTCAGCTCGGAATACAAGTGTCGTATCGATACTTTATTAAAGTTATATATAAAAATGTAACTGTCTAATTTATGTAAATTTAAGATTATGTTAATAAAAAACTCTTCTTTTTTTTTGTATAACGTTATATCGTAACTTTATATAAAAATATTTTTTTTTTACATTTACTTATCTTCAAATTTACATAAATTAAATAGTTATTTAATTTATGTAAATATGTAACATATTAATACACAATTCATTTCGAGCTGATGGTATGTGTTTTTAATATAAAACAAAGTTATAGAAACTATAAATTAATAAATTAAATATAATAAACATAAATAATAAATACAGCTAATTAATATATAAAAACAATTAATAGATCGTTTACTTTATCAGATAAATAAAGTATAACTTTAAAAAAATAGTTATTATCTAAAAGTTTTAGTGAAAGTTCATCTGCCATCATGACAAAATCAATGTATTTCACACACTGATCAAATATCTATTAATTTCGTCAATCAAAGCTCGAGATTAGTCATAAAAACAATGGTTTCATTTAAGATGAGGGTGGAATAGAGCAGGAAAAACTGTTCCTTTTAATTTTTATACCAACACCCAAGTTTCTAAAAAATCTTTGTTTAATAATACCACCGGAACACATTGCAAAAATTCTTTCATTCGTTATGTGTTTTTCAGTTTTTCTCGTACTTACTTTCTATATGATATCGTAACATAAACATATAAAATTTAAAAAAAATTAATAGATATTTGATCAGTGTGTGAAATACATTGATTTTGTCATTATGGCAGATGAACTTTCACTAAAACTTTTAGATAATAACTATTTTTTTTAAAAAAATAATGAGTTTATTCTTTTAATTTATGAACCTTATAAAATAATAACAAGTGGTTAAAATTCAAAAGATTTCATATTCAAATAGAAAATTCTGATTTTATTTTACGCTTGAAAAATACATGTTTCGTTGTTTTATTTATACTAATAATGTTATTTGAAAAAATGCTTTCTTATTATATCTTATAAAAGCTATCTTTTTCACAGATCTCTTAAAGTAAATTACAGAACAAATAACTTTAAATAAATTACAGAACAAATAAATTTAAATAAATTATAGAACAAATAAGTTTTAAATTAAAAGCTCGATCCATCAAATTTTATGTAGAACACGCTAAAACTTTATTTTTTAACTATTCTGTGTAAAAAAAAAAGAGAGAGAAAGAAAATAAAAATACCACTTAAATCAAATATTATAAATTACATAATCAAAATTAAAATACCAACAATTTTCACATCTAATATTAAATTCAACACAAAAAAAATGGTTGAATAAAATTAGAGTTAAAATGAAAAACTGTGACTCATTGAGCCGCGTTCATCAAGTCCTCTTTTCAATGTCTCGTCCATAACCTTGTTTCGAATGCACTGCTCTCTCTTAAATCTTATACTTTGTAGACCTTTTAAAATTCATTTAAGCAACGTACTCAATATAGTCCGCACGTGAGCATTTATAAATTGCATCCATCCATGTAATGAACATTTATAAATTGTTTTGAAGGAGTTTTTTAAATGGCTTTTCAAAATTTCAAAAAAACATGATTATTATTCTTGCAAAAAATGAATTACAGATAACCGCAATAACTGTTTGATGTTCCATTTTTTTAATTGTTAGAAATTGTGTTTTGAAATTATTTATTTATAAATTCATTAACAATTTATAGAATTTATTTGATTATCTCATGCTTTATTGATAAGCTACTTCTAAAATTTGTCTAAATATGAATTTGAAACCAAATGAGAAGTTGAGGTTTTAGTTAACGACGCGTATATTGATTATGTTTTAAGAAGATAATCTTTACGCTGTGGTTATATTAAATCAGTAGGCTAAACTCAAATTTTGTACAAAATTGATTGGACTTGTTTAAGGAAACACTAGTGTTTAAAATAATCAATTTCCGAGAGAATAATTAAGTCTTACAATTTTCAAACTTTTTGAAAGTATTCTTAAATGTTTTTCGTTTTAACATTGAAAAATGTAAAACGACACAAAACTTTGAATAAATATTGTTATTAGAACTAAGAGCATAATTCTTCATAACTTTATTTGTTGTTAATTTATTATCTATTGTTTTTAATAGCACACAAACAAAACGCTAAGTCTTCTACTTTTATGGCACGTGAATGAATGTGTATATCAGAATTTGTTTTGTTTCTGTTATTTACATACCTTTATACTGACACGTATTTACAAACATTTATCTTTAAAGTAACATAAATATGGCTACTTTTACATAAGAATGAGAGGGCATTTAATTCATAAATTATGTCAGTATGTTTAACAGAGTTCTTTTTTACCAAATACCTACTGTGATAAAAAAGAAAACATGAAAAATTACAAAAAAGGGTATCTATTTTTTTTTTTAGAAATTTTAAACAAAATGATGAAGTTTGTAAGGATACTGTTAATGATGTTGCATCGGTCTGTGTTACTTGGATTGACAATATTTTGTGGAATGCTTGTTTTTCAAAAAGTCGAGTCAATGAAGATAAAAGATGCTCTTCACTTTTGCTGGTCGACCATAACTACAATAGGTATTATTCATTTTTGTTCAGATTTCTATTTTTAGGGGAAAAAAGATGTCTACTTAAGTTTAAGATATTAAGAATTATTAATAGATTTTTAAATAAACGTTTAATTATGTGAATAATTAAACGTTTTAATTAACTATGTGAATAATTATGTTTTAAGTATTTAATTTTAAAAATTAAATTTAACAAGGTTATGGTGCTATAACACCAAAAACTCATCTTGGCAAAGTTCTTACAATGCTTTATTCAATAATTGGGATACCACTATTCATTCTTTGTTTATCGTCATATGGAATGTTAATAAACCATTGTACAGTAAAAATTGTAACTAGTTTTGACCAATGCTGCAGCGGACGGAAAAAGGTGTCGTATTTGCATGCCAAAACCGGATTTGTTTTATTTTGGGTACTCATTGGAGAAATTATAGCTGGAACTTTTATTCTTAACGTTTTGACAGATTGGTCAATGTTAGATTCGGCATACAGCTGGGTGATTACTTTGACAACAATAGGTTTTGGTGATTATATCCCTGATTATCCGCCAGACTCCAGGTACATTAAAACAGCTATAATTCTTGTGTCGGAGTTAACTACTTGGGCAACAATTGCTTCGTTTGTTCAATCAGTTCGATCTGCTATTTCTGAAATTAATAATGAAAGACGTGGGTTTATTGCCAAACTTTTTTGTTGCTACGGTGACAAGCGAGACGAAGAACTTTATTTTTTAACTCACGATCTGGACAACGAAATTTAAAAATTTGTATTATACTAAACATATTTATTATTACTTAAATAAATATACGATATCAATACAAAACAAATACAAATGAAAGCAAATAGAGTTATCAACAATAACGTGTATTTATTTATTTAATGCAAAGCTATAATAACGATTTTAAACATCGTTGAAATTTTAAAAAACTTGCTTAAGCATGAAATAAAAAAACAATTTTGCTGTTACCGTATGTATAAAAACGTTTAGTTGTAAATATTTTATGATTGTTATATTGTATCCAATTTATTTTGTGATTTATTGAGTAACATGTTTATTTGTTATAAACTTTTTGTTTTGTTAAACTCTTTCCATCAGACTTTATAAAATTTATATAAAAATTACATTTGTACAATTTAAAACTGATATTTTGTAAAGCCCTATGAAGTTTTCGATCAGGTTTATCTAAGTTTTCGATCAGGTTTTGAGTATGTTGTTAAAAATTTTTGAGATTTTTTATTCCCTTGTTCAATTCATCGCAATATTTCGCAAAGCATCCTAATTTGACATAAGTATAAACATATAAATGTTTGGAGTTTGCTCCATGTCTGGAAGTTAATTATTTCTAACACCAAAAAACGGCTCCGTCTCCCCTTCAATATAATATAATGAACATGCCCTGAGGATGGATAGAAATGAGTGAAAACTCTCTTTAAAAGCTTTTATGGATTTAAACAATTAAAAGAGGCTTAATCTTTCTAAAAATTTATTTTTTATTTTTTTGCTTGGCAATATTTTGACGCCTTGAAAATGTTTACTGACGTCATGTTACACATAAAAGAATCGAGGTGCTTAACGACATTAAGCAAGCATTCCTTAAACATTGACTTTTTATATTTATTTGCACGTCAAACCTCATAAAGTGTATTATTTAAATCCACATCATTATGAATGACAATGTTAAACATAGGTGTTAAACGTTTTAGATAGAGCTTTCAAAAAATCTAGATAGAGCTTTCAAAAGTTCTAGATATAGTTTTTAAAAGTTCTACATAAAGCTTTTAAAGGTTCTAGATCACAATGAGCACGCGTTGTCTGGGGAACGTCCTTCGGACGTCTCACGGACGTCCAGAAGTTTACAAAACGTCTGACGAACGTCCCACAGACGACGCATGCCTTCTGAGATAGAGCTTTTAAAAGTTTTAGATAGAGCTTTTAAAAGTTGTAAGTAGAGCTAGAACTATTACATATTGCATATGTGGAATACGTGGTAACTTTATTTGGCATTTTTGTTTTATTTTGATGTTAGCATTTATATCTATTCGTTAATTTATATAAAAAATTACCTTTACATAAAAGTTTTCGTTTTTAGTTTTATAGGTACTTCAGCTTAATTTTTCATTTGTCATCGGTTTTTCATAAATATGTTTTAGATGTTATTTTTAATTGTAATGATTTCTTTTCTAATTGAAACTATTATAAACATGTTTGTTGGAATAAACATAAATACTTTTTTTCATTGACTTTTTTGTTAGCGTTTTGTTGTTGTAAAATAAATAAAGTTAATTAATGCAATAAATATCTTCCTTTAATTAATGCAATAAACATCTTTTTAACTAATGCAACAAACATCTTCTTTTAATTAACAGGGCTGACGAAACAGGTTTCGAAGTAGGAGGGGGGGTCACAATCGTCAATTCTTAAAAAAAGTTGCCTATATCTAGAATTTCTTACATTAAGAAAAAAAAAAAAAAAAAGACCTTTAGCAAAAAAAAAAGTCCTTTAGCAAAAAAAAAAAAAAGGAGGGGGGGGGGCTGTTCAGTAAAGATTAACTTCAGTAACTTTAAGTTAAAATGTAGTTCGTTAAATGTATTTAAACAAAATTGTTAAAATCTAGTTCGGTAAAAAATGCTAACTGTTGTTTACATTTATCGAACTAGTTTGATAAATGAACTGTTGTTTACATTTATCGAACTACCTAACGCGCAAGTTCAGGGTTTTTTTTAACCAAACTTTTTGAGAAACGTATCTGGTTACGGCAAATTGCCTGAATATTCGTCTGGAGCCTTTTAAAGCAAATTAGTACAGCCAAAACGCCGAAAAGATCGTATAATTTACCGGAACTTTTTTAAGAGTGCAGAACTTTTAAAAATGTCTTTATAAGTGACAGTAGGTAAAAATATAAGAAATACAATGTTCGATACAATAGGACGTTTTGCTAAATTTAATAAATTTAAACTTACTAACAATAATAATAATAATAATAATAATAATAATAATAATAATAATAATAATAATAATAATAAAAATATTAACTAAAGTGGTGTTTTTAAGAGACTCAAGAAAAAAATCTAAAAACTGTAAATGTTAGATTTTAACAGTTTTTTGTAAAAAAAATTTAGTTTATTCTTAAAATCAGTTACGGAGCTTTTAACCTATTTATGTAACATTTTATTATATTTTCTTTAATTAAGTGTCTCGTTTTATAATTGACCCACTGCCCTCCCATCTCATTTACGCCATTCGCAGGCCCCCTCTTCCCCTTTGAGCGTACGCACTTTATGGACGATCAATAAAATGTTTTGAATGAATTGTCTCCTTAATGATTGTGACCTCTGGTAAGTTTGTCTAACTTTTCTGGTACACAATATTCCACAGATTTTGTAAGTCCATTTTCTTAAGTCTTTGCTCTTATCTGGTTCATTTTTTTATTATAAAAGTTAAAAATGCAGTTTTACTTGTTTCATATGTTATTCTTTCTTCAAAAACTTGAATTTTTATTTACTTAATTATTTCGCAATAAAAACCCAATGTCATGTTATATAAATAATATCAACTTGACCTGGACAAAAAGAAGGTAATGTTTGCTTAATCATTAATCATTAATCAACCATAATTTTAAAGAACTTATTTTGCTTTAAAAATTGTTATCTATTTTTAAAGAAGTAAAAAAAAAAAAATTCTATTCATATTATTTATATAATTAAAAATTATATAAATAATATAAGTTAATTAAAGAATATAAAAATAAATATTAATTATATTATTAAAAAATAATTTTATATTCTTTATATTTAAATATATAAATACTATTTTTCTACTGTAATTAATTTATGTATTGCAAATATAAATTTAGGAAATTAGTTATAGATTTTATAAAAATAAATATATCAGCGCAAACTTTGCTTAAATGACCACAGGCCAGAAAGTTGTTTATTGTAGTTTTATAGTGGTTTTATCAGTGCTCTAATCACCATTGTGATCAGAGCACTGAGGTTAACACTATCACCATGGTGATAGTGTTGACGACTAAGTAAAGACATAGGTCTTTACTTACTGGTCAACACTAAGTAGGTCTAAGTAGCGTTGACAGTAAGAAAAGACATAGGTCTTTACTTACTGTCAAGCAGTTTTAAAGTTCGTACTTCAAATTAAAGGATTGCAAAAAATAAAGCTACGACTTTAAAGAAATGACAACAATAAAACTTTATCCAGAAAAATCTTGATTCCCTAAGTGTTTAACTTTTTCCTAGTTTTAATGGAAATCTTTAGAAGATTGATGATTTACCTACTGCGTATTTTAAATTTTTTAAACTGGTTTATTTATACTAATAATATGCATAAAGATGCCCATAAAATATCTTCAACTATTTATGCTGACGATATGAATTTATGCTATAAATACTCCGATAAAATAATTCTGCTTGAAATAATGAGCATTGAACTTGATAGTTTTAACCTATGTTTAAAAGCAAATAATCTTTGAATTTAGAAAAAACCGGCTTTACCTCCTTATTCCATAAAATAAAACTGTCATTCAAGCTTCGGTTAAAGTTGCTAAAACTGTTAATCAATAAAAATGAAGTAAAACGAGATAAATATTAAAAGTTTATAGGAGTTTTATTTATTTTAAGAGTCTATTGTGAAAAAATTATTGTTCTCATTGTTTGAGATACATTAATTATTGTTTTCACGTGTTCTTATTGTTCTTATCTAATGTTCTGATTGTTTAATTATTGTCCCTAGTATTTTAAATATTTGAGATGAGAACAATAATTAAACATTTGGGTCATTCCACGGTAAATGGTCCAATTTCAGAAATCAGCCCACTCGTCCATGTCAGAATTTGATAAAATTTTCTCAGTATTTTGTTAAAAATGTTTCATGAAAATTACCATAATTTTAGATTACAATGCTAAACTTTTTAGGTTTTATAGGATATTTTGTAAAACATACCAAACTTCGCTTTGACTCACTAGCTATAAAACGCATTTTTAGGGCTCTTATATTTTTGAAATGAAACCCAAAATCTGAAAAATTGGTTTCTGATTAAACCGAGGGTGTAGATATTTATTAAAAGTTTTAAACTATGACGAATTTTTAATCTATGGTCTGCCAACTTTAGTCAAAAATTAAACACCAGATATTTTTTATCGTTTTTTGGTTGAGCCATATCTCCTGAAGAAAATATTTTCGGTTTTTTTATTTTTCTGAAGGTTCTACATACTAACATATAAAGCATATGTAATATGAAACAAAATTCCGCTCATTTAGAAATATGCATGCTGAATTATTACGAAATAAATATGGCACCAAAAAAGAAACACCCTAAAATGATATGTATTTTAACCACTAAAACTTTATGTAAGATTTTTTTTTTTTATTTTTTTTTATTTTTGATTGGATTATTGGAAATTGTTTTACACTTCTAAAAACAAAAAATATTTTTTTAGAGATTTATATTATGAGCAAAAAAAATTGAGTTATATGAGTAAAGTTCTGCTAGGTCATTGGTATTTTGCAAAAATTGAGTTATATGAATAAAGGTCTGTTAGGTCATTGATATTTTGCAAACGATAATAAGGATAATAAATATTCTATTTTCGTGTAGAACTAATTTTAGTAAGTAAGTGTGTATTTTTTTCTATGAACAAGTCTCTCTAAGCTAAATTTAAAAGTTTTATCTTTATTTTTATAAATACACAAATATAGAAACGAGAACAAAAATTATTTGTTTACATCCTAAGATGTCAGTTAAACAAAGTTTAACAGACATTTTACGATGTTTTTTAAACTTTGTTCAACAGTTTAACTGTTGTTTAGTTTTTATTATTTAATAGACTACCTGCCCCAACCAAACCCAAATCCATCCAAATGTGGATAACATTTGCCTCAGCTATATTAAACTTTAATATAAATTAATTTAATTATGGAGACTATGTTCATCAATACAATTTGTTGGCATGTAAATATTGGCATTTTTGTTGGCATATAAATATATAAATATTCTCAAAAATATAAATATTCTCAAAAGTAAAGGACCAGCAATACAGTATTGTATAGCTGTACCATTATATAGTCTAATATAAGATGAAATATTCACAGCAGATGAGTCAGTACCATAAAAATCATTATGAATATTGTTTAGTAAATCAAGCTCATAATGCAATAAGCAATGCTCAGAGCATAATAAAATTTGTGCGCCGAGGCAAAGTGGTTAGAGCGCTTACTTTAAAAGCAGCAGATCCAGGTTCGAAACAAGTTAAAAAAATATATTTTGCCAAATTTATGAAAAATTCTATAAGGTTTAGTATGAATATAACATTTATTGAATATTTTGTACATGCACGTGCAATACTGAGAAGTTTTACTATTGGAGTCGGAGTCACGATTTTGTTTAGCGACTCTGACTCGGCGATTTTTTTTTCCTTAAAAATTCCCTTAAAGAAATACGATATTTGGTCCAAAACGTCCGCAATTTTTTAATTTTTATGAAAAGTTGCAAAAAATTACCATCTTTATCATTGAATTAGGGCTATAGATATATATTTATATATTTTTGTATAATATATTTTGTATATGTTATTTTAGGTGTAAATATATATCGTGTGTTTTTTTATTAAATCTGCTCTTTAAAAGCTATATAAATTTCAAATTCAATTTATTTAAAAAACTAGTACTAAAACTAAAAATAATCAGCTGGATTGACTAAATGACGGTTTCCCTAACTATCAATGTTATTACTTATAAAGATAAATTTCAACTGGATCTCAAATTCCAGTTTACAACTATATGTCTACATTACAGTTAAATAGTATTTTTAAGCAAAATAGACATAAAAATCACTGTTTTTTAATGAAATACGTATATATTTACGACATCAGTCATTAGAAGGTATATGTTGTAAACTGGAATTTTAGATATACACATTATGAACCCATGTATAAATTTTTAGATCATAAGATGCATCATGGATGAAGTCTATCCACGAGTTTGATAGTAAGTCATTTTATTGGTAAAAAGCTAGTTCAGAAACCATAATGAACTTTTTATTAGGTTATTCAAAGAAAATTAAGTTACTTGGCGCGTAAAAATAAAATAAACTGTTTTCATTACATTCGTATCCGAAAATTTCGTAAATCATAGTAAATGGGAAATAATCAATCAAAAAAAATCGCTGTGCCGCTAAAATTGTCACAACTCCACGACTCCGACTCCACAGTCCTGAGCAAACAATGTAATCAAGAACAAAAAAAGCTAATAATAGGAGATATAAACACAATAGAAAAAATTCAGCATCGAACAACGAAATGGATCAGGTCAATAAGTAATCTAAAATACGAGGAACGTTTAACACGGCTTAATCTGACTACTCTTGAAACTCGCCGCATGCGTATTGATCTTATACAGCAGTACAAAATAGTTAATAGAATTGATTCAATCAATTTTGTGGCACCACAAACTACACCAGCCTATCGAGGATCTAAATACATTTTATGAACTAGGAGCCATGCCTTTGAACAAGCCGCTGAAAAAACATTGAAACATGAAGAAAGACGTACTTTTTTCACTAACCGAGTAGTTAAAAACTGGAACTCCGTAACAACTACTACAGTAAACGCACCATCACTCAATTGTTTTAAATGTAGACTTCGATAGTACGATTTATTCATGCAATTTGGCTGGTGCAGCTATAATTGCAAATACTGTCAGAAAAGAAGGGTTTTTGTCAGCCTCTCTCCGTCAATAATTAGAATATGCAGTTTAGATAAATTCGTACCACGAACTGTTTTTATTGTGCGATTTTAATAAAATTGTAAAAAATTATTGATTACTGAATAAATATACAAATGTAAAAGGTAAAATGAAGATAACACAATATTGTGAGTAAGTTAATATATTTTGTGGGGGAGGGAGATCCTAGGCTCTAAGCATTATTACATAAGTATGGATATAAAATGATTTAAAGTTTACACTTTTAAAAAAAAATTTAAAATGTTATAATCAATGATATATTGCGTATCTAAAAGTGTCAATTGTGCTAACAAAACGTTTTCGAATTAATAAACGCTAAAAAGAAACTCAAATTAAAATTTAATTTTACTTAAGAATATGAGTACGCGCTTTGAAAAATAGTGATTTTTATAAACTATGGTTTCAAGCAATGCACCCTTATCTACATGTCTCGCTTTCCTGCTACGAGCTTTGCTAACTTGTTGGTCTTGCTTTTCAAGACAATAGCGATGAAAGTTTTACTTAGACTTAAACAAGCTCTACACTCTACTTTTGGGCACTTGTTTGAGTAAAGACTATAGGCGGTATAATAATGAAAGTACTTATCTTGAACAGATATATACCCGCAGCACTGAATTAAGGTAGGGACTAGGGGTGGGTCACACAGTTTTGAGGGCCCCGATTCAAAAAAAAAGTTTCTTTTAAAAAGACTTTTAAAAGAAACTCTGAAAATAAAATCTTTGATTAATGATATGGAAAGGAGCCTCCTGCTTTAAAAAAGCCCCGGGTCCCTAAAAGTCTTGATCTGCCACTGTATATCCAGTTACGGTTTAATTTAACCCATTTTTTATTTAATAAGCTGGCGTAGATGTAAACCTGTGTTAACCATTGTGAACCATTGTGATGTAACCACCTCTGATGTAAACCATTGTTTTCTGATTATGTACGCTTTTCTCAACTCTATTAATGGTTTTTATATTTTGGCTTCTTAGTAGTGGCTATGCAACTTTTTATGTTATCTTTTATGAGGGTACAGCTCTAAAACTCAGATCTATCTCTTTTCACAAATTTATATTTTCCAAAATGGAAAAAACATGCGTTTTTTAATAAAAAATAACATCTTTCGGTATTCTCAAATAAAAAGTTTTTATTCTCAAATAAAAAGTTTTAGGACATCATGAAAGCGCCGATAGAATGGAATAACCGAACCAAATGAAAGCTTAATAAATTCAAACACGTTCTCTGCGGTTTCATTGTAGCAAAAGAGGACGTTTCTTGTTATTTTGGATTCTACATAAAATGTCAAAAACAAATCCACCAGAGTTAAAAAAGTGAGTAATTATTATTGGAGTTATATAGAAGATATATTAATTGTTAGTTTATATTCTTTTGTATTAAGTTTTTTTATTTAAATTTTAATATCTCATCTCAAAAAACCAATAAAACTCAAATTAAATGACTACGCAATGTGATATAAAACCTATTAATATATTATTCTTTTATTATTGTTTTATGTGTAGCTTACCTCTCAGGTATAAGTTTATTAATTATACCTAACTGCTCCTTTTAAAAGCTGTACTATGTCTCCAATCAGTAGATATCTCCAAATGCTTTCAAATCACCGCTGCATTCTTTTAAAAGATTTGCAGATTTTCTGGGCATGCAGAATCGATTGCCAACTTCTAAACTCTCTAGAACATGGTTTTGAAAACATTGTGAATTATTAAACTCAAGGTCACCAATTATTTTTTAAATCAAATTCAAGGCTAATAAGTTCCACTAAATCCATTGTTTATTTTACTAATTTTATTTTTACTTAAAATTATGTCTACATCTAATCCAACAGGACGATTATCAAATAAGTAAAATCAGAAAGAAACAAATTTTTTTATACTGTTTTTGCATATTTTTACAATAAGCTAACTAAATTTACATTTTAAAATACATTTAGAAGTTTCTGTATAGTGTATGGAAAAATATTAATATTTGTTTCTTCAGTTAATAAAATTTGAAATTTTTTACTTTTTAATGTCAGTATATTATTTTCCATTTATTATAATAATTATTTAATGTTGTTATAATTACATAAAAGCATTTTCATTACTATTTTTAATATAATTTAAACAAAAAAATTCTATCTTCGAAAAAGTATTAATACATATATATGTGTGTGTATATGTGTGTGTGTGTGTGTGTGTGTGTGTGTGTGTGTGTGTGTGTGTGTGTGTGTGTGTGTGTGTGTGTGTGTGTGTAAATATATATATATATATATATTTTTTCTTTTTATACATATATTGCAATTCAGTAAATACGTTTTTTGTGATATCATGTACATAACAAAAAAACAATGAAAAGTTTTATTTGTGGGCAAACTAAAATGATTTTGTGGGCAAACTAAAATGTGAATTTTTGATAAAAAGATTTGAAAATTTGTGATAAAATGATTTGTGGGCAAACTAAAATGATTTTGAAAATATCTTTAGTTATAAGCAATAATTATTAGAGAAACAATGAAAAACATTTTTTTATGATATTGTAGTAAAATACCTGGAAAAAATTTGAAAAAATCTTGTCACACATATTTTATAATTAATGATCAGGAATGGCCAACCAACTCAAAGTCAAAGGATTTTTTTTCTAGTCAGGAAACCAGGGTAAAGTCAGGGATTTTTAATTATTTTTGCCAAAAGTCAGGGGTAAAAAACCTTTTTTTCAAAATTTTTTTAAAAGGTTTTTATTTTACTTCCAAACAACAAAACTTAAAAACTCACACTTTAAAATGTATCCGAGTCAGGAAAAAATATAAAGTCAGGGAATTTAATTGTACAAAGTGGCTGGCCGCCCTGATGATGTATGTGTGACATGACATAAGATCATTAAATTTAATAAGATCATTAAATTTAAAAAAATCAGAAAATAAATTTTATATAATAGTTATTGATATAAAATAAATGTGTATTGGAATTAAATTATAAATAAATAAAAAATATTTTTGAATATAAATGCCTTTAACATAATTATAGTATTGATATAAATTACTTTTTTTAAATTAATCTCAATTTCTTTAATAAATTCAACAAGAAAACAATCACATAGTGGTATTTTGAAAGTTATTTCAGTTTGAATTTGCTTGAAAAGATGAATTAAATAATTCTATAAACTATTGATTTTAAGGTCTCTGTAAATTTCAATAGTTTTCTGTTTTAAGTTTAGGTTAATATATAATAAAAATAAAAATGTTTTGAGCTGAGAGGTTAAAAAGCTTTAGAGGAAAATGAAAAGCTGAAAAAGAATACTGCTCAATAAAATTTAAAAGGATTAAGATTTTTTAAAAAATGAAAGTTGCAAATTGAACAGCACAGAAAAGGATTCATATAAAGAAAACAAATTTTCAGACTAAAAATTTAACAATAACTAAATGAATTAATAAAATGGAAAGAAAAAAAAGCTTAGAAAATATTTTTTGACTATGTTTATGAGAGAGGCTTACTCTTTTTACTATTTTTCAATCAACCTATAAATAATACCTTTTTCTACATTTTATAAGCTAAGGCTTATAAACATATTTTTTTAGAAGAAACTCCCACAGTGTAAATGAAAACGGCATGAGTACTTTCGCTTATTACTTAAAGCAATAGACATTAGCTATAATAGTTCATATTGGGTGTCTTCAATTACAATCCAAAAATAGGTGGATAGGAGAAGTAATAGAGAAATTATTATCATTATGGCATATATTTGCAAATATCCAAATGAAGTACGAAGTACACTGTGGAGTAGAAACACTGTGCAATTGTTTAATGGTGCTGTTTTCAACAACAATAATTGCAAAGTATCTTATCTGTTTAGAGACAAGTGTAAAGATAATGTTTACTGCTTTATTGGGTAATCATATGATGATTTCCGAAAAACTGTAGTAATGATATCAAAACTCTTTTCATTGATGGCCCATTATCAAACATCTTCTACTACAATATTTGCAATATATATCTTGCATATCTGTTGTAAACTGTTTTTATGGTCCCTTTTATTTGAAAATATTTGTTCCAGAGTCACATGTAACATTTGTATTGCCCAACATCTTTAACAAAAAAATTGCACACTTTAGCAACTTGATGATAAATTTGCAGCTGTTGATAATTTTACAACTGGTGACGTTTTACATATCTTCTTTTTCTGGAGTTATAATAAATATCTTCTTTTTCTGGAGTTAGTATCAGATATTAGTGTTGAAAAATTAATCCCCGCTAGCCTCAATTTTCAAATTATCGGAATCAGTATTAGTATCATTCAAGTTTTCATATTGGGAGTTTCTGATTCTCTTTGATGGATAATTTTTTGGAGGTCAGCTACTTTATTAGAACAATAACCTCCGCTACATTGTGTTTCTCTCTGCATATTATAGAATTATTTTGTCTTCACTTGTTAGCCATATATCCTTCAAATCAGTAATATCAAGCAATTGTGAAAACAAAATTTTAACAGACTTTTATTTCTTTTTCATAAAATTTATCATAATCTGTTGTAAGTTATTTAGATTTAACTTTGAAAATTATTTAGATTTAACTTTGAAAATTAACTTTCTAAACATAAAATTTGAATCTTTTAATCGCTAGCTTTAAATGGAGCTTTAAACTACTTAAATACTGTTTTTTTTTTCTTTTTTTTTAATATCATTTTGAAATTTTTTTTTTCTTTGTTCAATCTTTCTTGTTTTTGCTTGTTTTATAAAAAATTTTGATTAACAATCATACGACATTCTAAAAAATTTAGTTACACTGAAAAAAAAAAAAATGGAATATATACAGTTCCAAAATATAGATAAATTAGGTAAATAATTTTAAGTTTTTTTTACCCTTTTATCTTGCCCAGTTTATAAAAAAGTCAAACTTTTTTAATTCCACTTTATCAGTTTTTTATACATTTTGAAATTTTTTTCTAAATTCTTTGTCTGATAGTTTTTGTTTTTGAAATTTTTTGATTGCTTTGACAATGTAATTTATTCAGTTATATTGAAAAAAATTATATACTTTTGAAAAAAAAAGTTTGTTTCAAAAGTATTTTTTGTTGGGTCTCAGAAGAATCAAATTTTATAAACAAAATGTAAAAATAATAAATTAATAAAAACACAAATTAAATAAAATCTTTTTAAAAAACTATAAAGAACTTCTATTTTTTGTTTAAAACAATAGTTTTTAAGCCATAGAATTTTAACCAATAATACATATGTATGTATATATAATTATTATTTTTTCATTTTTTATAAAATTTTTGCTTTTTTTAGGACTTAACATAATAAACTTTTGAAATAAAAATTAGATAATAATAATTGTTTATAACTTTTTATTTCACTTTTTAGATACATGGATAAGCGTCTTCATTGTAAGTACTTTTTATAAAAATATGTAGTTATTAAATGGTGCATATACAAAATTTGAGCTTGTGATTTTAAACATTCTTTGCTATTTATCAAAGAAGACAGCTTAAATTAAATAGATTTAGAAAGTTTAGGCTGCAGCACCATATTTAAGTATCAAACTAACTCTCCAACTTTTTTTTTTTTTTTTTTTTAAGATGTTATATGAAAATAAAACCAAATTAAAAATACTTAACTGTGTCTCAAAATTATATAAATTTTGAATAGTATCTGAACCAGTTTAGTCAACATTGTTTATTTTGAAATTGGTTTTTTTCATTTTTGTACTTTTGTTTTACTTTTTTATTTTATTTTTCCCTTGAATCACAAAATATAAATAGTTTTAAATTTTTTAAAAAATAATATAAAAAAGTAAAATTTGAAAAAAAGTTTTTTAAAAGCAAACTATTAAAAATCTGAAAAACTAAAACTCATGAAGATCATAATATTTTCTTTTAAACCATTGTTTTATAAGCATTAAAATATAGTTTAATAATATCAAGCTTTATTTTTTATTGACTTTATTCATCATAGCAACTACTTCTGGAAACTCCTAAAATCTCTTAAAATTTTTTTTTTTTTTTTTTTTTGGTGCCTTTATATTTTAGGTAGCCCAAAAAGTCTTTATGGTTTTATCACAGGGCAAAGTGAAAGAGCATTTAAATGGTAGTTCATGCCTCCTTCATTTCGGATGTTATAAAACTTGCCTAGTGATGACATCAAACCACAGATTTCTAGCTTCTGAGGCAAGCACGCTAACCATTACGCTATGGCTGCTCAAAATTAAACTAAAAACAGATTAAATAATGATTAAAATTTAACTAAAAACATATAGAAAAAAGCAACAATCTGAAAAAAAAACTTTTTTCTATAATAAATGGTAATTAAAATATAATAGCCAACAGCTAAATCTGAAGAAGTAACAGCTAAAATCACATCTCACAAAGGGCAAGTAAGTCTAGTGAATTTTTGCCAGATTTAAGATTTAATCAATGAAAAGTTCCTTTAAAGAATACAATTAATTGTTAAAAATATATTAAAACACTTGGGTAGTGGTGATGGTTTAACATTTTATGTGTACTGTAGTCATGTTTTAAATAAAAAAAAACTTGACTCAATCATGGATTTGCATCCAAAGCAATAAGCTGTGTAGTTATCTCAATTCTGATAATTACTCCTCCCCTTCCCTTACCTTAAAAACCAGAAATTTGGGCTCCTTATGTGGCCTCAACAATGCACACTTGATGCACTAACAGGGACACTAAGTCATTTGCTTTATGGCTTTGTTTATATTCTGATATTTTACAAATATTAATACAATCAGACTCTATGAGAGCTACCAAAAAGTATTGCAAACCTGACTACGGCCAGTAAGCCTTGTTATGAGATTTTATTGTATAACAAAAATTCATAACGATAATAAATGTAACTTTAACTCAGTTTGATATTTACATTGTTAAAAGTTATTTTAAAATAAACCGCCTAATTTAATTTTATTTTAAAGTATTAAAAATCATTATAACAAAAATTACTGATGAAATCTAAATTCAGTATTTGAAAAAGATTACCTTATATATTATTATTTCTTAAAACAATCTTATTCTTAATGTAATCTTTTATTTGTTTATCACAACTTATTTGTTTATTTTATTTGTTATGTATTTAATGTAATTTTTAAAATAAAAATTATAAACAATTTATAGATGGATAGATCAGTTACCAATAAAATATTTGTAACCGTAATTTATGTTCATAAATTATGTCAAAAGAGCTTTATATGATATTGAATTAATAAGAAACAAAAAATTTTAAATACGTTAGTAAAAAGAATTCTCATAAACAAAAACACTTTTCTCTTTTTATAAAAAAAAAGTTTTTTATTTGCTTTCATGTTTAATCTATGATAGGGAGACTTATATTTATGTAAGGAATTGGTTAACAGATAATAAGAAAAAATTCATTTAATAAATATTGCCAAACTATTTTATATTCCTTTGAAACTAAATTTTATATTCTACATTTACTGTTTAATTTAAATTTTGTTTCTTTCGAAACTTAATTTAAATTTTAAAATCATATTTAATTTCAAGTCTTATAATTGAAAATAAAATGTTATAAAATAATTTCTTTCTTTAAAAAAAATCTCAGTTGTGATTAAATGCTTTTTTATGACCTAATATTTTCCTTATAAATCTCACAAATGCTATTGAAAGGGTTTAAATAATTCCAAAATAAAAAAGCTTCTGGTTGGCGTTAAACTGCTGAACGCAAATTACCATTTTATATGTAAAATGCCAGCTGTGTAATCCTTCTTAACAAGGCCTCAGCCAGCCTCGGAGCTATTGAGTTTAAGATCTGTACACTCATTAGAAGATAACAGTAAGAGTTGTACAGCCACCATTAAGGAGGTATTAGCAAAGACCCATAAATAGAGTCAAGAAGATCCAATATTCATTATCCAAGGGTGGAAACAATTATAAATTTTATTTTAAATTACAGATTTATATCTATGCCAGCCTAATTTGCCTTGGAAAGCAATTCCTATAGGCAGCAGGACATAGAGTAGGTAGTACTGGAAACATGTTACCAGTAGCAAGGTGATCATGATGAACCAGGGTGTGAGCCAGCCCAATAACACTGCATATAACGCCAAATTTCCAAAATTCTATTGGCTATTTTTTTTGTGTGTGTGTGTGTATGTGTGGGTGAGCGCAAAAAGGCTTGAGCGCTGGCTAAACAGAGAAGACTGCTACAATATAACACACAAAATTTTCACTATAAACATATATTACTATAGGCAGATATTAGATTATTATATAAGTATTGATAACAGAATATTTGCTTATTCTTTGCTTAGAAAGCAAATTGTACAAGGCAGCAGAAAATAAAACTGGTTGCACTGGATTACATATTACCAGTAGCAGTATCGTGTTGGTCATCTAAGATGTTTCTAATTTAAGTAATCTTGATACTTTAAAAATTTCATTATTTTTATAATAGTTTTAATAACTAGGGCTCAAACCCTTTGACAAAGTCCAAAAATTGCAGAGCTCCTTCCCACAATACTTAATATAAAAGTTTATTAGACAAAAATGTAAACTAACAAATAGTTCTAAATAAGTAATGAGTGTTTGAAAACAATAATCAAATTTAAATTATAGCTTTTAGTTTTGAAATACAAGTACCAATTCTAAGAAAATATTATTTTAATAAAAATTAAAAATCCAATTATTTTAATTATTCGGATTTTTTAATTTTTTATAAAAGATTAAAAAAATTTAAAGTTTTTATGTACTAAGGTTTAAAGTCATAACCTATTAATAGTTTAAACCATAGTACATACAAAAAGTTATGGTTTTTTATTTTAATTTTGTCAGATCAACAGCTTTGTTCACTTTCAATTATGAAAATTTTTAGTTTATATCAGGTCAAATCAAGACCATCTAGTAAGTGAAAAGCCTATTTTTAGACTTTTTCAACAACCCCACAAATAATTAAACTTTTTAAATGTATTTTTGTTTAAACATCAATGTTATACTGTCTTAACTAGTGTAACTATAAGATGACATGTTGATGTTCAATTTAAAATTCTTGTCACTTAATTTTTTTGAATTTAAACTGTACATTGAAAGTTTAAAAGCAAAAAGACGTTAAAGCAATTATTTTATGATTCTCTTTTTTATTATGCACTATGGTTTTTATATTCGCTATTAAAACATTACAATACATTATCTTTTTGTTATTTATTTAATTTATTTATTTTATTTAGTTTTTTATTTGTAATGTAAGTTAACATTTTATTATTAATTTGTTATTGTTAATTTCTGCTTCAAATATATTTAAAATGACATTTATGGATAGACTAGGAAAAATTGCCTAAATACGTTTTTAGTCAAAAAACAAAACTCTCTGGTCTTTTTCAAATAATTGTATTTCAATAATTTTTTCAATTACTTCAAAATTTAATTTACAACATATTTCTACATAAAAAAGTTTTTTTATTGATATTGCATGCTTTTTTATAATAGGCTGCAAACACCAAGTATAAGTTGCAAAGGAAAAATTTTTTTCAAATCGCGTAAAGGTGCAATCACTCTCATTGCCCCTTTATGAATCTGCTCTTTGCTCATATTATTTCTAATGTTTTGTTCTAATATTTTTTACAATATATAGTAAAAACACCTTTTTTTTTTAATTTTTTAAATATACGATTTATAATTACTGCAAAGGTACTTTTTAACTATTGTTTAAAAAAAGTCAAGCTTATTTGTCTCCTTTTTAAAAAAAAAACTATTGTTTGACTTTTATAAGTTAACAAATACTTATTACAATTAATAATTTTGAAAAGTTTGGTTTCGTTTTTAGTAAAGTTGAATTGTAACCGAAGCGTCACTGGTATTTTGCGTGGTTTTGACCCTTTTATGAATCTTGTAATTGACGATACTGTTGAAAATACAAGTACACAAGAAAGGAATAACATTGGAATGGTGGTATGTATATAATAGTAAAAATCGTTAACTTAACAAAACCTAGTTTTGTAAAACAAAGTTTTTTTGTTATTGTTGTTTTTTTACTATTTAAATTGCAAAGTGTGGTTTAAACAATTTTATAAGAAAAATCTTTTTTATTGTTGTCTTGAAAAAATTAAATCTAAATTTTTTTAAAGGTTATTCGAGGAAATAGTGTTGTTCTAATGGAAGCCTTGGACAGAATATAAGGAAGAATGTAGCATCATATTTTCTTTCAATCGAAGTAAAAATAAAGTTTAAATACTTTTCATGTATATTGTTATCGGATTTGTAAACAAGATAATATTTGGTAAACTTGAGGTTTTATGAAAGATTCTTTAAATATCCATAATTATGTAAGTGGCGCAGTTGTCATGTAGTTTTTATTATTTAATAAAATTAAAAAAAAAATTAACCTTATAAAAATGACATTTTTTAAATTTGATTAAAGGTATTTGAATTTTGAAACAGCTATGTTAATAACAGGTAGATCCACCTCTTAATCCACACATGCTCTTTTTGATCTAGCTAGGCTGATAAAGATTTAAAATAAAAAGTAATGGAGTGAAAATTTTCTGTATTTAAATCTTAAAGATTTAAATTAAAATCTTGAAGATAAGAAAAGTAAATCGTAAGTTATTTTATTATATATATATATATATATATATATAAATATATATATATATATATAAATATATATATATATATATATATATATATATATATATATTATATTTTATATATATTTTATATATATATATATATATATATATATATATATATATATATATATATATATATATATATATACAGTAACGCAACTTTTCTAAATTTAACATTTTTATAAAATTCGAAATGAATTTGATGTTTATATATCATATATTCATGCAAAAATGATAAAACCAAACAGCAGCACACTATGTAAACATAAAATTATGACGTCATTATAGCTTAACGTGCTGCGTTATAGATTTTTCTTACGAAACCATACATGGGAATAGCATAGAAAATTTTCATTTTTTTCGCTTTTTGAGAGGTATAGTTTAATCATAATGGGTCTGGCAAAGGAGATTTCGCCAAGAAAACGTGCGATGGTATGAAGCAGCGTGATATTTCTACGAAAATGTGTTTAACTAAGTCTTCAGTTAGTCAAATAATTAAGAAATACAAAGCCTCCGAGTCAGCATCACCACTGAAACGTTCTGGACAACCCAGAGTAACAACAACACGAGATGACTGTCTACTCTGACGCTCTGCAGTCAGAAATCCGACTTATTCAAGTCTTCAAATAAAACTAGGTTCTGGTTGCGGTGCGAGTACACGAACAATACGTGACCGACTATGTTCGTTTGGTTTAAGAGCTCGACGTCCATCCCACAAACCTCTGCTATCTAAGCAGCAGCTACAGAAAAGAGTTCAGTTTTGTAATAAATATAAGGACTGGAATGCAGAAAGATGGTCTAAGATGTTGCTATCCAACGAGTCTACATTTCTGCAGTTTAGATCTGTCGCGCAGTATGTACGTAGACCAGTTGGATCTTGAGATAATATTCGTTACACCTTGCCGACAGTTAAACATTCACCCCAAATTATGGTTTGGGGATGTTTTTCAGCAATGGGGCGAGGGTCTCTATACTTTATACAAGCGAAACAGATGGTAAACTCCATTGAATACCTAAAGATTTTAAATTTAAAACTACCCCTAGCCATGCGCTTGCATTGTTGTGAACTGTTTCTACAAGACTCGGCACTATGCCATACCAGTCGAGTTGTAAAAAAGTAGCTAACTGACAATGGGATTCAAGTTCTGGACTGGCCAGGCAACAGTCCAGATTTGAATCCCATTGAAAATCTCTGGACAGTGATGAAAAGAAAAGTAAGAAAATATTACAGTAAAAGCATTGAAGAACTAATTTACAACAATAAGAAGGTGTGGTGTACCGAAATCACTTTGGGTCTTTGTCAAGAACTGGTTCAGTCGATGCCAAACCGTATCAAATGTGTGTTGAAAAACCATGGACAGCCTTCTAAGTACTAGATATTTATATATGAACACTTCTTTTAATAATACTCTTGTATATTTGTTTAATGTGTGTGTTTTTTTTAAAGTTATAATACTTTTCGCCAACACTGTATATATATTATTATTATTATTATTTTATCTTTTTTAGCTTTAAGTAATTTGAATATTAAAAAATCTCTCTGGTTTTTTAAATTAAACCTATTAATCATAAAGTTAAATTATTTATAAGTAATATGTTTGATACACGGCGACCTATACTACAGGCCTTGCCAACGTGCAAACGGCGTATCTGACTATTTTAAATTTCGCTTGAGTGGTCGTCCATAAAGTACGTATGCTCATAGGGGGAGGGATCACTTTAAAAGTACGTACGTTAAAGTATATTCGTTTTTCTAATTTATTACATATTAACGAGTACTTATTAATAACTAATTGTTTTTAAATAACTTTAAAAAGTTAAACCTTTCCCTATCATGGTTTTCCATAGTTCGTCAGCTAACAATAGAAAAGTTAATTTTCTGACTTAAGGTCGTAGTGTCGTGGCTAATGCGTCGAAGAGCCCCTCCCCCCCTCCTTCTCTTCTCTAAAAAAACAACAACTTGTGATTGGGGCCCCAAAATCTTAAAAAAGCAAGGTATTGCTATTAAAATTAAATAAAAAAAGCTGCTTAAATTTGCTAAAGGACTCCTAATTTGTTGCATTTGCGCGACTTGTCTGAGATGCAATCTCAAGCTCCGACATAAAATCGCTCGCATTAACCTCTCGCAATACACAAGTAAATTAATGTTATTAAAACAAATATTTTTTACATGTGTCTTCAAAGTTGGGATCCGGTTCTGAAACCAAAGGCTTTGGGGTCAAAGTTCTAAATTTTTTGCGTACGTACTTTATGAACGTGAACCTAGCTATGGTCACCATGTTAGTGATATAAATGTATAAAATATTGTTTTGCACTACAAATTTTTTATCTGCAAAAAAGAAATCTGATCGATTTCCTAAAAATGAAGAAGAAAAATAAATGTGGATCAATAAAATTTAAAATACAAATTTAAAGTAACTAATATCACTGTAGTTTGTGAGTTGTACTGACCAATAAGTTTTGTAAAACAAATAAAAAAAAGTATTGTCCTAAATTCCCACCATCTGTTTGGTTAGGCATACCTTTTCTTGTCTCATCAAATTCCCATCCATCTTTCTCCATTACGTTCAACAACTCGTGTTTCTTCGTATTTTTGAAATTTCGCTATTAACTTTTTTTTTTTTTTTTAAATAACTTTTGCTGAAACGAAAAAAATTATTTTAAATAGTGAAAGAGATTTAGGTGTTCCACTAGTATGCTTTATGATTAATAACACTATTTATTAACAATCACAAGTTTATTCAAATTGAGTTCCATGTTTTTAAATCAAGATCAGTGATGATTTGCTAAAATTAAAGTTCCTACAATTTCTTAAAACAGAAATTCGAAAATCAGCACATGGTTTATATTAGGGGAAGTTTTACGTTATTTGAAGAATTTGAAAAGAAATTGTAATTCAGAAATATTTAGCTTCTATGGGCACACAGAGTGTTAGCAGTAAGATTTATTCTAAAGAGGTTAATATTTGATCTATTTGGTATTTTGCTACATCCAAAAGTTTGTAAAGTCAGTTTCGAACAGATCACCGATTGTCTTCTGTAAGAACTTTGACAAGAATAACTTCAAAAGTTTTCAATTAAACAACAAGCACTTTTTGACTGTAAATTTGTTGAAGAAAAACAGAAACTTTCTTTTTTATTGCATGATGAGGTTTATGTTAAAAATTATTGTTATATCGTGAATTGCAACAGCATTTATTTAAACCAAAAATGAAAAATGCTCTTTATATTTAAGTAAAGGTTCAATATGAAGTTATCTCTGTTTAAAGAAAAGATATGATACAAGTTTCTATAATAAAAGAAATAAAAGAAGTCAAATATTTTTCTGTCGTTGCAGATGCAATTAATTCTCAACTCATAGAGCAATTACCCCTTGTACCCCTTGTACCCCTTGTGTAAGATTTGTTGATAAGAAACATGAGATACGCAAGGAGTTTGTGGCATTTGTAAAGCTGGAGCGTGTAAGAGCCAAATATATTTTTACTATAATTAAGAAAACTTTATATCACCTTAATTTGAATATTGAAAATATGAGAGGCGAAGGGTACGATGGTGCAGAATTAATTGCAGGTTCGTTATCAGGTGTACAAGATCAATTTCTGAATATTTGACCAAATGCAATATACACCCATTGTGTGTGTTATAGACTGAATTTGGTTATTAGTCATTCTTGCAAAATACCTAAAATAAGAACTGTGTTAGATATGATGAAAGAGTTAACAAAACGGATAAAAAAATAGCGCAAGACGAACAGAACTTCTAAGTTATGTACCAAAACAAAAACCAATTTTATACATTGAATAGACCAAAGTTTCTTACTGATATTTGTGTTACAAGATGGGTTGAAAATTTAGATGGTTGGGAAAAATTTTGTTTAGCTTATCCGTTTCTGATAATATTTTTCCGAAGTCATTTCTAAGAATCGATGTGGCAATAATAATGAATATGTCGAGTGGCTGTATGAGCGGACTGCTGACGTCAAGCACTGTTTTTCCTTAGGAGTTTAATTTTATTATATCACTAGTTACAAACAGCGAACTATATGGTTTCTTCGTGAGCCTATAGTTAAGTTGCAGGAAAAATCTAGTGACGTCATATATGTCTTTATGTGTGTTAAAACTGTCATCTCAGTAATAGAAATGATCAGGATAGAATATTGAGGAATCCTTGAAGTTACAGGATATGAAGAAAAGTGCTGTCCATTGAGAACAACCTTTATACCACAATTGGAAAGAGTTCAATAATATTAAAGATACACCGTAAGAAGAAAGTTTATGGAGAAGATCAGCATGCCAAACTTTATCAAAAGCTTTAAAAATGTTAAGAACAATAGCTTGATAGATCGAAATCCATATTTATAATCAGAAAGTAAGCTATTAGATTCAAGATTAGAGATTAAGTGTTAGTTAGTTAAAAACTCAAAAACCTTGCTTATGATAGAAAGAAAACTAATGGAACAGTAGTTATTAGTAGAATTGTTTTGATGATAGATATGAAATTAATGGTTTCGAGAAAAACCATGGAAAAGAGTTTGAAAAGAAGAAAAGAAGTTTGACTTGCAATTGTCAAGAGCAAATAAAAGATTCCATGTCAACCTGAATCCACAAAGTTACTTAAGAAGCACATTTGTCAGCAGTAAGAGGAAAAATTTCTACCAAA